ATGGTTTGGGGATTGTTTGAATTTTATTTTTGTTGATTCATGGTTTGGGGTTTGTTTGAATTTTATTTTTGTTGATTCATGGTTTGGGGTTTGTTTGAATTTTATTTTTGTTGATTTATGGGTTATTGGTTGTTTCAATTTCTCTGTTTGTTGGGGCGGGTTGGCAGGTTGTATCAATAATGGGCGGATGGGCATCCTAGAGATAAATGTGTGTTATAGTAAGATGTGTTTTGTGTATAAAATGTATCTAAAGAAATGTTGAGTATAATATGTGTAGAATTGTTTTGTGTAAAATGCGTTTTACACAAATGTGTTTTGTGTAAACGTGTTTTACTGAAATATAATTCTGCAAAATCATTTTATGTGTAAAAATTGTGTGTGTGTGTTGTGTGTTATGTTTTATGGCCATGCAAATTAGTTTAACAAAAAAATCGGGTTTTGAAATTTCGGGGCTTGAAATATCAATCTTGAGGGCATGGGCATGGCCTAAGCTAACTTACATACATGTATAATATACGCACTGATATTGGGGGCTGCAACCCAGGTAATTACCCCTGCTGGTGCCTGCAGTTGCGAAGTTGATGGACCATCCATGGCCCCGTTTCCTCTGCCAAGCCATTTTCAGCCTTGCCCAACTGTTCTCCAGGAGTTACTCCGCGTTTGGCATCCAGACAAGAACCCGGAGAGCTGTGAGGTCGCGCGGAGCCTCAGGATACGTCATAATCTGAATCTCAAGTGGGAGTAGGGTCTTCTAAAACTCGGGTGGTTGTGGGGTGGTAGCAGGTGCACACGATTCGCATGCTGCATGTTGTTCTGAAGCACCTTAGGACCTTAATCTTGGTTTCGTCTCCCCGATGTTGGACCACATTGGCCTTGATCTAAGGCTACCGCGGTTTTTCAGATGATCCAAGCCGAGAGAAGTCCGAAGTCCCGGCCGGGCATGGTGTGAATTCATGGAGTTCCGATGAAGCCCGTTCCTATGACCTCCTATGAAGCATCTCCGTTTCGACACGAGTCTGAGTATGGATCTATCCACTTGTGGATATGACTGCAGAAAGCTAATCCAATCCTATCATCCCCTGTGCGGGAACCTCAAGTGAAAGTGAATAAGTCCAGTGCCACAATCATCTCCGTAGGGTGCCCAGGGCAAACACTCAGCTCAGGCCGTATCCTACCCAAATAGGCCGGCGACTTCCTTCCTGTTGCTTCAGTGATGGCTGGGTCACCGGAACATGCTGACCAAGACTAGGGGATCTCCGTCATGTCACTTTGATGAATAGGTCATGGTGTGAGGTTCAGTGATTCGTCTCACACTTGCTTGCAACTGCACATGTTGCAGCCTGGCAGGTTTCGAGAGGTTTCGTGAGTAGTTCGCCCTAAAGCCAAGCACGGCCAGTGCAACTGTACAGGGCTTCCATTTGAGGTGAACTGCGCCTGGGGGCTGGCAGTGGTGGCGATTCCAGGACAGCTATGAAGATATGGCTATGGGTCACTGGGTGAACGCCCAAGGAGCTGGTAAAGGGACCAAATGGATATTCACTCTCCCCCCATATATAGACCATATAGCCTATATAGCCTATGTAGATGGCCCCATCAGTAGCCAGATCCCAATGTCGTCCCCAATCTTGATGCTGCTACCAGCTTGGAACCATCGAAAATTCACATGTCGGCCCCCAGGGATTGCAGATGCACAGCTGTGGCCTCTTTCCGTCAAATACTCTGTAGGTCCGTTATGGTGGACCCCACGTCTCATGTCCAACTGTCTCCGCTGCTCTAGTGCGCGCACACTGTGCTTGGGGTCAGAACTCCCCGAAAATACGCAGCCATCATTCAACAAAATGATCCAATTGCCGGGGTTCCTTTTCACAGTGGCGCCTGCCCAGTTAGCGACTTCCCCAGCCGAGTGAAGCGCCAAAGGCGCTGGTTAAACTTTGGGGCCAGCAGGAGTTGGGCCATGGAGCCCAGGTTAAAGATGATCAGCTGGTAGAAACACTGACAAACCCGGTGAATTCAACATGGAACCACACACATGTTGTTTGGAAGATGATTTCCCACTGGATGTTTTTTTTTTTTTTTTTTTTTTTTTTTTTTTTTTTTTTTTTTTTTTTTTTTTTTTTTTTTTTTTTTTTTTTTTTTTGGGTTCCAGGATGGTCCAGGTTGAATTTATGAGGTGTAATGTTGGGGCTATGTATGTAGAGGTATAATAGGAAGATCATTTTTGGGTGTGCTTGAACATTTGCGGTAGCCATAAAACGTAAATTGGGATGGAGAAGATGATGAACAGCATCAAATTTGGGCGCACCATATTTTAAGACAGACCTACATACAAGATATGATATGCAGGGATAGCAAGAATTGAGAACAATCAAGAATGTCAAATCAAACCGTTAATTTACCTTACCCAAGCATGGGGATACCACCTCCATTTTTTGGGGTCAGATACCATGCAAGCCTCACAATCGAGCGGGATCCAAACTCAGGCATTTTGGAGGGCCCAGTGAAAACCTTAGCCCAGCCCTGCGCTTTGCCAATTCAGAGTTGGCCGGTTGTGTGACAAAGAGCCGGTGGCAGTGGGGCGGAGGTATATCAGTGTTTTTCTTCGTTGATCCTGGCAACCAGTGGTCGCCAGTCGTCACTGGTTGCCTGTTGCTGGACGATTGTTGGTTACCTTTTCGTGCGGGACATTTGAAAAAATGGGATATCGGCTCAGATCAAATGTTTCACATCATTCCGCCCAGTTGATCCGTTTGTATGTGGGAAAGGCGTCCGATGACGCCCTTTTTGAAGGCTGGTTGATGTCCACACGGCTGCGGTTGATTCTGTGTGTGTACTTTTTCGACGTTTTCCTACCTTTTTACTGAACTTGTTCAGTTGACTTACTTGACCTTCCATTGTGTTCCATGGGTTGTGTCTCCGGCTGAACTGTTTGTTGTCGAAGATTGCTGGTCTGTGAAGCTCGAAATCACTCAGATTACTTTCACCACTGGGGAAGTGATACTCTGAGAATACCTGCGCAAGCCCTACCTCGCTGAAGTCAATGCAGACCCCAAACAGAAACCCTAAATCAGCGTTTCAAATGCCACATCTTAGATCTCCTTGTCTATTTGGTGGTTTATTTTTATGTCTCGTTTTCTTGATATCGTAATTTTTCTTGATTCAATCTCCATTTGCACCCCCCTGTGTCCCAATATTGGATGAAGGGACGCTTCTCAGCAGGTTCTTTTGCTGTACTTTGGGCTGGCCACCGCAGACGAGTTACTTCCATTACACGGTGGCAAAGATAGGGCCTGCAAAGGGATTAGAAGCGGCACCCCAGGGCAGGCCAGGCAAAGCTATTTTTTTCTACTCCACTTTTTCATTCTTGCAATGATGATTGTCATTCATCATGCGTCATTGTCATTGTCATTATCACACTACCCTTAGTATTTCTATTGTTTTTTTTGGGGCTGTGTCTCTCCCAATGACTTTGTTTGTCCTTCTTGTCAGGTCCAGAAATGGTCTGCCCACGACCTGAACGAATGCAAGAGGATTTGCACTGGAAAGTGCCAAGCCGTGCAGTGGGTTTCCAGCTCCCACCTTTGTGAGTTATGGAATGTGCCTGTGGTGCACAGCATGTCGCAACAGGGGGCTGAGTGCTATGCCAAAAGCTCTGATGCCACCAAGATCTCAGATGCTTTGATGCCCAAGGAGTGAAAAGAAAGCCACCAAAATTCTGGGTGCTGATCATGGGGTACATCCATGGCAATGTTCATATCATGATGACGAGCCTTTGGATTCAGGGTACAGTGCCATATTTTCTGCAGAAAGGTGTCAAATAAAGGCCCCATTGTACCACGTTTCTGGACACATCGTAATTTTGCATTATATATACACTTATACATTTTAAGATATGATGCTTGAATGCGTGCTCATGGATCTTCATAATGTTCCTGCATATCATGGAAAAATGAATGCGCAAAACTCAAACACGTTGCAATAAACTAAGTCAGAATACTTGCTTGATGAATTCATGTTTCTTATTCCAGATCTGAAATGGCAAGAGTAATTCCACCTTTTCTTTAAAACGCGCATATTTGAACATGCATTGCAAAGAGCACATTTCCGTTCTAAATTGAACTGGCAAACATGTTTCCAACGGATGTACTACAAAAGCCATTTTCCTTTGAAAATGTCTTGTAAAATCAGATCCTTTGGAATAAATGTTGCAAAAACAGTTCGAGGGATGGGACAACTAATTCAAACATATAGATGACCAAAACAATAAAAGGATGGCATACTACATGATTCAAATGCATAGCCCCTCCCCCCCTTCTCCCCCCAAAAATCACCGAATTCAACTACATAGCCCTCAAACAAATCAGTCTAAATTTACTACATGGCCTCCCCCCAAAAAAAACACAGTAAATTTAATTTTTTAAAAGGTATAGTACTAAATTCCAAGACATAGCCTCCAAGCAAAACAGAATACGAAATTCAAAACCACAGCCTTCAAGGGTCGACCCCTGGCTCCAGAGCTTCAAACTCCTCAAGAACTTCGTTTCGATTCTTCCGGAGCTTTAACAACTTCATTTGGAGCTTTCCGGAGCTTCAAAATCAATGTCATTAGGAATCTTTCCAGAGTCAGCATAGTGCTACAGGTTTCAAAAGCTTTAAACAAAAGATGGCAATGCATGACAAGGTGCAGTGATTACTTCTATTGATTACAGTATTTGCCAATATGCCTCGGGATGAAAATTTCAGAGATTGGGTAGGACAACCCTAGTCACTTTGTTCTAATATCGCAGCGTATCCTTGGTCCTTGGACGTGTTTTCTGTTGTGACGGTATTACGGCAACTACACGCTACCTCTTTTTAGGCTGAACATATTGTTTGATCAACACATTTACTCATGCATTTACCTGCTAGCTTTTAAAATTGCATTCTAATGTTCATTCCACATTGGCTGAAAACCATTCCACTAGCATGAACATCGATGACCAACTTTACAACTCATCTTACTGCAAGGGTATTCCTAAATAACATACACATGCAATTTTGAAAGCATGATGATATGTAATGTCCATACATGTTCTTTGCTTGTATTCCTGGTATTTGACAGCTCTCTGTTTGTAGCTGCACGGTTGGCTTGCCAGAGAAACAGGGTGAATCCAATGACAAGATGTGAAGCAGATCACCCATCCACGCGCGGCAGTGGGATGGATGGCTTGCCATGTTGGTTTATGATCGACCAAAAACGCTAATTTCATGTGCACCTTTTAAGGTGTGTTTGAATCTTTTTGGTGGCTCCTCTGACTAATTTCCAACTACTGGGAAAATTAAACCCAAATAGTCTGGTAAGGTTTTAACTTTTAACCCTTGATACAATCTTTGCAAGTGCAATTGCGCCCATGATGATGAACAGTTTATACTTTAATTTTTCTTGCAAAGACCACCCAATCCAATCAGTAAACTATATACAGTAAACATCTGCATTGGAAATGGTCTATGGTGATATCAGAAAGGGAATCTGCTTTAGCATAGAGGTTACTTTGGGTATATCATAAATCACTAGGTATTGTTGAAGTATATGCACACATTCATATTCATATTCATATTCATGTTCATGTTCATGTTCATATTCATATTCATATTCATTTGTTTATTTATTCATTTGTTTGTTTACTTCTTAAAAAAACTTTCTTTTTTTTTTCGGGTTTCTATGCGCATATATGTATATATATATGTATGTAATGTATGTATGTATGTAATGTAATGTAATGTAATGTTATGTAATGTAATGTAATGCAATGCAATGCAATGCAATGCAATGTAATGTAATGTAATGTAATGTATGCATGCATGCATGCATGTATGTATGTAGTTATTTGTTTATTTATTTATTTATTTGATTATTTATTTATTTGTTTATGCATTTGCGTGTTTATCTGCCAATATTGGTGGCTTTTGCAAAATCCGTTCGAAAGCAATTTAGAACAAAGGATATGGACCCTAACCCTACCCCTCTATACTATTCTATAGGTACGTTACAGAACCAAATGAAACAAGAAACAACCAGTCCTGTAATGCAGCAGGAAGAGAGTGAACAAAAGCAGGCATAGAAAACAAATCAACGCATAAAACTTGCGTGAAAAAATGGAACCTCTATTTTTCCCCACCATTTTCTGACAACCCCACATGATCCAACATGGTGCGTTGGAAAATCCCACGGAGGACACCACCTGCTTGTCGATGACCTCCGCCTGTTCCTCCGCGGACGCACGGGTCGGTTGTCTGATGAACAAAGACTCCGCAGGGCCATGTGTCTGGTGCGGTGGTGCAGCTTGCAACGATCAGAGCCAAGCCGTCTGCGAATCCTTTGGATTGTGGAAGGCAGGTGGTTCTATGGCAGTCGTCAGGAGCCGGAAGTGACTGGAAGCTGAGTTTTGGAGTCAAGAGCCACTTGCGAATTCTGAATTGATTTGGATGTTTGAACACCCTCTGCTGGTTTGTTACAGCTGTTACCATTGTGGGCCCCAGATGACACGTCCCAGGAGCGGCGCTGGAGTTGGTGATACCGAAGTTGCTCAGTGTGAGGCTGGAAAGCCCGCAGTGGTGAAGGTGAAACATGAATCCTGGCAGGCGGGGATTGAATTGGTTGTTTTTGATCTTGTGGCTGTTTCAGCGGAGATTGACATGGTTCTTGTTGGGATTTTTCAGGATGTTCTCCGGCTGCCCAAAAAACGGTTGGAAAGGAAATGGGGCGACTTGCGTTCGAGAACAGAATGAATGCAGTGTGATCAGCGCTGAACACACTAACATCAAACAGGGATTTCTTCAAAAATCCAAGTCTTTAAGTGTATTCACTACTGGGGCTGTTCCCAAATAATGATAATCTATGGTATTATCTTCTACTGAACTATGGCACCCAAAAAACAACAGTCCACTGGAAAATATGTCCGAACGCACAGGCAACGGCGCCCAGCCCAAAGGAGCTGGAGCTGTTGACGCCAGCAGATGGAGGCTGCAGCAGTTTGACCAGCAAGGAGGATTGCCTCAGCAGCAAGGACGCCAGTGTGGCCACCAAGAAACACTTCAAGGCCGCGGCCCGGGGCCGAGGTGGCCGGGATGAAACATTTGATGTCACGGTGACATTCTCATAGTGGGAATAGGCTCATAACAAGGATCAATTAAGGGGACTAGACGGAGTCAGTCACCCAATTAAATTAGTAGATAAGTATTTGCGCACACACACACACATGTCACATATATCATATATGTCGTGTAGACATACACACACATATATATATACACGTGCGTATTCATTTGGACATGTGGGAACATGATCTATACATGGGACGGGAGATTTTCAATTGCCAACTTGGATTACCTGATTGCAGCCCAGTTTGAGTGCCAGGTTTCTGGTGAAGCGTGCGTGTGGTGCGGCGGCATCGCATGCACCTCCGAGGATGATGCGAAGTGTGGACCCTTTGACTATGTGATGATCCTTGGCTGGTTGATTCCAAACATGGGAAAAGTTATGGGAAAAGTATGGGAAAAGTGTAGTTTGAGTTGAAGGAGTTGCAGGATGGCCATTCTTAGGAGACTTGTGAGATATTTTGGATCCCAAATGAATGTCATTGAATAAGAACAAGACTGAATACTATTATAGAATATTTAAGATGCTCATTGGAGATGGCCCAGCTCCACCGGTCGAAGAATGCTGAGGCACGGAGAAGGGATTGCCTTTGACCTCTTTCACGCGAAGCACGTGTACGAGGTGCCGCCTTGGGGATTGCAGGACTTTTTCTGATTCTGTCGCTGGAGTTGAACCACAAAAAAATCGCCTAAAATGGGAGATTTTAGCATTTTGTAGCAGAATTGGACCAGAATATAGCCTGATTTAAAAATGTTTCGCGATCCAAACTGGCAGATATATGAGATAATCGAGAAACTCATGCTGGGGGATGGACATCCTTTGGTTGATGATACTTCAATGCCAAAACCATTAATCCATTTGTGGTTCCCTAGGGGTTCACAGTAGATATTAACCCCCATCTCCAAACAACCACCTGATGAAGTAACCGAGATCGCGGTCTAGAAATGTTTAGAGTATAATTTGGAGTCCTCCAAACTGTTGCAAGACGAGGAAGTCAATCAAATCCCAAGTCCGGTCTTGGCATCGGACACTTGCACCTGGACCCCCCTTGTAGGTTGCAGGGCGCTCCTCCTCTGTGAAGCGTGCGGATTGGAAGGGTGACTGTCTGGAGAAAGCATCCCAAGGGTGCCCTTCCCTGAAGGACGAGTACAGCAACTTGGCCATGAAGCGTGGAAAATGCGGAGCCTTATCCGGGTAAACCGATGGCACAGCAGTAGAAAAAGGGGTTGGATGTGCACCCAACTAAGTAGGATTGTTTCACGTATATGGGTGTAGTAGTATAGACCCTTCACCGTCCACCTGTGATTCCTTTGCTTGATCACTGGTCATGATGTTCTCCATCAAACATCATCAAACCTCAGTGGCTTTTCTCCGACTTCGTGGGCGGCAGGCTGTTTGGCCAGTGTGGATGGCCGTAGCGAGGATCCCTATCACAAAGGTCTCAAGGCACAGCGATGGAGCTGTTGCGCGGGGTGTGCCACAGGGGATCATGGTGCAAACTGAGAGCTACCCTGGTGATCCAAGTACCATCTGAGAAGGTGTTTGGACCAGAGAAAACAACGCCAGATACAGTCTTGGAAGGTGTTTTGAGCTGTACCCATAGCATCTGGTGATATATTTCATAGGATGATGCGCTGTCTTATGCTTGATTCTTGATTTTTTCGTAGTCTCCGACATGGACATAGTCCATTTCTTTATGGGTGGCCAGTGGGTCATGGGGCACAGGTTGAACTCTGTCAGGTGGCTGGGGAGCCCTGCGTTTGGTGCAACGGCGCGGTGTGTCACAATAATGGCACCAACCGGTGCGAGGTTTACGACGTGCAAGTGCATGGCAAGGGAAAGGTGCCTGGGACAGATGCTGACGCCGCGTTTATCCCTTTGGAACGAAGCCATTGGCGGATGATCAGATCAGTAAACGACATATCAACCATGAGGTGGGGTGTTGAAGCTGATCATAGAATCATGATGAATCATGGTAGATTTTGAGAAAAAAGGGGCCCTTGAGTATCCTTGGGTCCTTGGGTCACGTTTCTTTGTTTGCTTCATTTCATGCCACATTGTGGCCGTGTGGCCACTCCGCAACCGCAACCGGAAACGGAGGTCTTCAACCACAGCCTTTCGACAGGCCATGACCTCGCTGGGGAACTGTGATTCGATCACTTTCTTTTCCCGGTGTGAAGACGTCGAATACGTGCATAAGAAAAATGCACACACACATATATAATCATATGTATATATATATATAGATAGTATACACCTATGATTTTGAACTAATTATATATATATAATGTACAATATGGTTCATAACTATGTCAAAACGAGTCATGGCCTGGTTCCTCATTCGCTCCAGATTGGATCAGTCCAGTCATCATTTGATGGTCGCTTCGAGAAGGACGATATGTCCTTGGAGGATCATCCCACTTGGTATTTGATTAGGAGCCAAAGTTGTTATAGGATACTTTGGAACTATATATATATATATTATACCACTTATCTGATAAGAATATAGTAAATAGTTTTGTAGTTGATATATAGTGTTTGTTGTTAATAGTTATTTCGAGTAGTTTGGTGACTTCCCATAGCCAGCCGTTCAGCCGTTCTGGAGGGCATCAACCCCCAGGCATCACCGTGGCGCAATGCGATGGCCCCGTGGTGAAGCAGCACCTGCCAACCTTTCTGGTCTCTGCCCCGCCGTTTCCCATCACGCGACCCAGTCCTATGGAGATTGCATGTCTGAAGGCGGGATTTGGGTGGATCGATATGTATACATACATAAATACATACATACATAAAAACATATAATATTATATATAATATATGCATATATATATATGTATTACAATATATTATATATATATATTCTGATCTATACTATACTATATTACATTATACTTTACTATACTATACTATACTATATTATATCTATCTATATAATATATATATATTATATTATATTATATATTATATATTATATTATTATATTATATAACCATTACATACCCTACATACATTACATACCCTACATACATTACATACATTACATACATTGCATACACTACATACATACATTACATTACATTACATTACATTACACTACCGTACATTACATTACATTACATTACATTACATTACATTACATTACATACATACATACATACATACATAAAAAAATATAATATTATAATATATGTATATATATATATTACAATGCATACATACATTACATAAATTACATACATTACATACACTACATACATTACATACATTACATACATTACATACATTACATACACTACATACATTACATACACAACATACATACATAAATACATACATACATAGATACATACATAAAAATATATAATATTATAATATCTGTATATATATATTAATATATATATATATTTCCTATTCTATACTATACTATATTGCATTATACTATACTATACTGTACTCTATTATATTATATTATATTACATACACTACACACATTGCATACATTACATACATTACATATATTACATACATTACATACATTAGATTCATTACATACATACACAAATACATACATAAATACATACATAAAAATATATAATATTATAATATATGTATTTATAATATATATTACAATATATAAATATATATTCAATTCTATACCCAACTAAATTACATTATACTGAACTATATTATGTTATATTATACTATATTATATTATATTGTATTAAATTATGTTACATATACTACATACATTACATACATTACATATATTACATACACACACTACATACATTACATACATTACATACACTACATACATTACATACATTACATACATTACATAGATTACATAGATTACATAGATTACATACATTACATACATTACATACATTACATACATTACATACATTACATACATTGCTCCATTACAAACACTACATACATTACATACATTGCATACATTACATACATTACATACATTACATACATACATAAATACACACATACATAAATACATACATACAAATATATAATATTATATTATATGTATATATATATATTAATATATATATATATTCTATTCTTTACTATACTATATTACATTATACTATACTATGCTATATTATATATTATTATAATATATAATATTATATTAAATTACATTCACTAGATACATTACATACATTACATACACTACATACATTGCATACATTACATACATTACATACATTACATACATTACATACATTACATACACTACATACATTACATACATTACATACATTACATACATTACATACATTACATACATAACATACTTTACATACATTACATACATTACATACATTACATACATACATAAATACATACATACATAAATACATACATAAATACATACATACATAAATACATACATAAATATATATATATATATTATTTTATATTACAATATATATATACTCTATACTATATTATATTTTATTATATTATATTTTATTACATGCACTACATACATTACATACATTACATACATTACATACACTACATACATTACATACATTACTTACATTACATACATTACATACACTACATACATTACATACATTACATACATACATAAATACATACATACATAAATACATACATAAATATATATATATGTATATATGACAATATATGTATACACTCTATACTATACTATATTACATTATACTAAACTATACTATATTATACTATATTATATTATATTACATACACTACATACATTACATACATTACATACATTACATACATTACATACATTACATACATTACATACATTACATACATTACATACATGACATACATTACATACATTACATACATGACATACATTACATACATTACATACATTACATACATTACATACATTACATACATTACATACATTACATTACATACATTACATTACATACATTACATACATACATACATTACATACATCACATACATTACATACATTACATACATTACATTCATTACATACATTACATAAATTACATACATTACATACATTACATACATTACATACATTACATACATTACATACATTACATACATTACATACATTACATACATTACATTCATTACATTCATTACATACATTACATACATTACATACATTACATACATTACATACATTACATACATTACATACATTACATACATTAAATACATTACATACATTACATACATTACATACATTACATACATTACATACATTACATACATTACATACATTACATACATTACATACATTACTTACATTACATACATTACATACACTACATACATTACATACATTACATACATTACATACACTACATGCATCACACCCATTACATACATTACATACATTACATACATTACATACATTACATACATTACATGCACTACATACATTACATACATTATATACATTACATACATTACATGCATTACATACATTACATACATTACATACATTACATTCATTACATACACACCATACATTACATACACTACATACACTACATACATACCATACATTACATACATTACATACATTACATACATTACATACACTACATACATTACATACATTACATACATTACATACATTACATACATTACATACATTACATACATTACATACATTACATACATTACATACATTACATACATTACATACATTACATACATTACATACATTACATACATTACATACATTCCATACATTACATACATTACATACATTACATACATTACATACATTACATACATTACATACATTACATCCATTACATCCATTACATCCATTACATCCATTACATACATTACATACATTACATACATTACATACATTACATACATTACATACATTACATACATTACATCCATTACATCCATTACATCCATTACATCCATTACATACATTACATACATTACATACATTACATACATTACATACATTACATACATTACATACATTACATACATTACATACATTACATACATTACATACATTACATACATTACATACATTACATACATTACATACATTACATACATTACATACATACATTACATACATTACATACATTACATACATTACATACATTACATACATTACATACATTACATACATTACATACATTACATACATTACATACATTACATACATTACATACATTACATACATTACATACATTACAATTACATACATTACATCCATTACATCCATTACATCCATTACATCCATTACATCCATTACATACATTACATACATTACATACATTACATACATTACATACATTACATACATTACATACATTACATACATTACATACACTACATACATTACATATATTACATACATTACATACATTACATACATTACATACATTACATACATTACATACATTACATACATTACATACATTACATACATTACATACCTTACATACCTTACATACATTACATACATTACATACATTACATACATTACATACATTACATACATTACATACATTACATACATTACATACATTCATACATTACATACATTACATACATTACATACATTACATACATTACATACATAACATACATTACATACATTACATACATTACATACATTACATACATTACATACATTACATACATTACATACATTACATACATTACATACATTACATACATTAAATATTACATACATTACATACATTACATACATTACATACATTACATACATTACATACATTACATACATTACATACATTACATACATTACATACATTACATACATTTCATACATTACATACATTACATACATTACATACATTACATACATTACATACATTACATACATTACATACATTACATACATTACATACATTACATACATTACATACATTACATACATTACATACATTACATACATTACATACACTACATACACTACATACACTACATACACTACATACACTACATACACTACATACACTACATACACTACATACACTACATACATTACATACATTACATACACTACATACATTACATACATTACATACATTACATGCGCTACATACATTACATACATTACATACATTACATACATTACATACATTACATATATTACATTACATACATGACATACATTACATACACTACATACATTACATACATTACATACATTACATACATTACTTACATTACATACATTACATACATTACATACATTACATACATTACATACATTACATACATTACATACATTACATACATTACATACATTACATACATTACATACATTACATACATTACATACATTACATACATTACATACATTACATACATTACTTACATTACATACATTACATACATTACATACATTACAATACATTACATACATTACATACATTACATATTTTACATACATTACATACACTACATACATTACATACATTACATACATTACATACACTACATACATTACATACACTACATACATTACATACATTACATACATTACATACATTACATACATTACATACATCACATCCATCACATCCATTACATACATTACATACATTACATACATTACATACAATACATACATTACATACATGACATACATGACATACATTACATACATGACATACATTACATGCATTACATACATTACATACATTACATACATTACATACATTACATACATTACATTCATTACATTCATTACATACATTACATACATTACATTACATTACGTTACGTTAAGTTACATTACATTACATTACATACATTACATACATTACATGCATTACATACATTACATACACTACCTACCTACATAAATACATACAGACAGACATCCATCGATCCATCCATCCATACATACGTACATACATACATACAATAATATTATAATATATGTATATGTGACAATGTATATATATATTTCTTTTCTATACTATATTACATTATACTATAATATACTGTATTATGTTATATTTGTGTATATTATGTTATAATATATTATATTATTTTTTGGTATGTTATTTATTATAGTATATCATGTTATATTATATTTTTCTATATATATTATGCTATATTATATTTTATTATGCTATATTATTTAATATTAAATTATATCATCTAATTTAATAGAATATAGTATAATCTATATAGATATGGATATAGATAGACTGAGAGGTGGTGGCAGAAATAAATGTAGATGGCAAGTAGGTTTGAATGAATGACTAGTAGGTATGAACGAATTGTAAACATGAATGAATAGACCAATAAAGCAACAATTCACGAAAGCTAGCTCTGCTAGCCGAAATCCCTCTTGCTTTAGCAAGGTATTGGGGGGCTGGAATCTCCAATCGCATGAAACTTCATACTTAACAACCCCCCCTCCCCCTCCCCGGCTGGCTGGTTCACAAGCGGTTTGGCCGTGGCTCAATCCGGACACTGTCGTCATGTCGCCACCGGCAGCAAATTCGGCAGCATCCGCATCCTCAGCAGCGTTGTGTTTTCATGCCAAGCTCCCTGCCAAGCTAGCTTTCATTCCTTATCCCTGGGCCTCAAGTAAACGCACAGAAACAGAAAAGATGGATGGACGGCCGGATGTGTGTATGTATTTCAGCTCTAGATCCGCGCTTGAGGCGGAACCCAAGGGCTGCCAAGCGCTGAAGAACAGATTCGATTGCCTCAGCAGCGTGGATGGATCCGAAGTGGCCTCCTTTGGGGGAATCAAAATCAAAGGCGCGAGGGGGGCTTGGTCTGAAAATAATCTGGCAGATCATGGGGATTTCATCGGGATATGATACACTTCGATATGGGGATTTGATGGGGACATAATTGGGATGAAGATGGTAGCATCAGTGTACTCCGAGTTGCAACTGGCTGATTTCACGCTAGCAGGTTATACATGGTTTATGTCATTTTCTGTCTTGATTATAAGTGTATTAATTAGTTCAGCACTTCCCAACTAATTGGGATGAAACACCCCCAAGGTAGTGACTGGAGCAGGGGCCCCAATGGCCATTGGCCATGGTCTCACAGGTGAGCCGTGCGTGTGGTGTGGTGGTGGCCACTGCCACACGGGCAATCATAGCCTTTGCGCACCCTTCGATTACCTCGAGAAGGTGCTGCAACAGGGATAGCCTGGGGGTAACTCGGGGATGAAAACTGGAGATGATGAAACAGGCTGGAAATCAGATTGAAGATAGGCTACATGCGGTTATACAAATCTGACTCTAAGATACTTCAACTCTAAGTCTTTTTCAATAGATGTCCCAGACTCTCACTGAGTGATTGGCGAGAGGAACAAGTTGCAGACACACACACACACAAGAAGGAGGTTTTAGCACTAACATTTAAAAAAAATGCTGGGCGTTGAGTTTTGTAAGGCTTTGATTTTGCCACCGTTCAACAAGAGTAGTCAGTAGTGTTGGATAAGGTCTTGCTATGTTGCGGGGGCTTGAACCAGTTTATTGTTGCGGGGGATTAGGTCTTGCCTTATCCGACACATACAGCAGGTTGGCTGTTCAGGGTTCTCTCGGATTTTTTTCAGGGAAAATATCTATGAATCTATGAATTTTATTGAAGTTACAGATGTTGAGTTAAAGAACTCACAAGAGAAAATAGAGAAAATATAAGAAAATGTGAACAACACCCTGAGTTAGAATTATCTAGTTGTGCTGAAAACTATAGTGAGGCAAAAGAGTAAATTACAGACCATATATTCCTATAGCACATAGAAAAAATAAAGCAAATGGGATTTTATGGCTTATTAATCATCCTGCTAACATAAAAGATAAATACATTAAAACAAACTCACTGGAACCACACAAGATACTATATTGAAAATTAGGAATAGAACTTATAAAGATTTTGCAATCCTTGTTTCTAAAGATCCTGTATCAGTTAACTTATGCACACAAAAAATTTAGATCTTGCTATAGAAATTCCTATTAAAGAAAATAAAAATATGTATAAAAAAGATGGAACAATTTAGTAAATATTCTTATTAACCTATTTTAAGTTTCTAATTTTTCTTTTGTTTCCTATGGGTCTACACCGAAAAAAGTGGCTGTTTCACTTACGGCCCAGATGGATGGCTTACCCATGTCCATGTGGCAGGGAGCGGGTCGAGCCTTTGAGACGTTGAATGCTGTGGCGTTGACACCTGCCACTTGGACGCTGACCACTTGGAATCTGAGACATGATTCATGGGTCAGTTTTTGGCCCTTGTTCAGTTGACTGTTTTTGCAGCCAGAACAGTCCTGTTTGGGCTAATGATGATTCATGTCTTAATGTAATGGATTGTGATTGTAATGGATATCTAACTTTTTTAAAGGTCCGAAAGAAAGTGCAGGATAGTGGTTGAGTGATCTGAGTTGATCCGAAGCTGAAATCTGGGCGTGAAGGACTCTGCTGTGGGTTGATGATTAGTTCCAGTATTATATGGGGATGGGTCAAAACCGTGGTACCTAGTGAACCCCAAAATAGCTGGTAAATGGATGTTCATCCCACTAAAAATGTATCTATAGGTATTGACCCATACCCATATATTGGGGACTCTCATAATCCATGAGAGTTTTGAATTGGGAATGCCGTTCCTGATCAAGAAAAAAGGGATGAGAGTCTTGAACACTGAGCAGTGACCAGTTGACCCTTAGGGTAGCATCATTGATCACTGGCTCAAGTCTTGTGGATCTCATCAGTGAAGGCACCCCGGGGCTTTTGATAGTCACAAAGCTCATGGCGACAAATCTCCTTTACGGATATTCCTGTTGCTTGATTGCTGGCATCGGTTTCGCAGTGAACTACCTGCCGGTCAAGAGGTGTGACGTTGGTGATGGAATCTTTTTCTCCTGCGGCGATGTCAGTAGGAATCCTTCTCGTGGGCTTGGTCACAGGGATGTTCCTCACCTCAACACCAAATGTCGAAATCCCGGCCTTCGAGCCTTTAGCTGCAGCTGGTGGGGCCATGTGGATGCTGGGAAATTTGATGTGCCCGAGCAATATGCTCATGGGATGGGTCACAGGCTACTTCGGGCTTTTTGGTCTTCCCAAAGAACAGGATGTGAAGCAGCCATGGGCCAACTTTGTTGGCCTGGCGCTGGCGTCTGTCTCGTTGATTTTCTTTTCCCTTGCATTTGCATTTGATGACTTCGAACCTGCACGAGAGGTCGAGATAAAGAAGGAAAATTCGGAAGCCTCAACAGCGGCTTCATGTGGAGATTTACCGGACATCGAAGATGGGCAGACGAACGTGCAGAAGCCTGCGACACTAAAACGTGGGGAGCGAGGGGATGCCGGTTCAGATCGCGCACATCGCATGAAGGCAATGTTGGGCGTCTCAATGGCAATGGCAATCCTAGCAGGCGTTTTGTTCGGCTCAACGTTCGATTTGCCGATGGATCTCAAGAATGGGATCTTTGGTCCAGACCACAGCCAGCACATCATGGACTATGTGTTTAGCCATTTCATCGGTATCTTTGCTGCAGCTTCGTTTGCCCTCACAGTCTACATCACGGTCAGGGGGAAGAAGAGCCAGCTGCCACGGCAGCTCATCGTTCCTTCTTTGGTCTCTGGTGTGATTTGGGGGATCGCGCAAGTGGCATGGTTCCAAGCAAACATTGAGGTGGGTTTCGCGATAGCGTTTCCGATCATCGGTAGCCTTCCAGGCATCATCGGGCTTTTCATTGGATGCTGCTGTCTAGGAGAAGTCAGGACTACACCGAGCGGCATATTTTCACTTGTCGGCCTGCTTCTGAGAGTACCAGGAGTCCTTCTTATCGGCCTTTCCTCAGTGTAGTTCAGATATTAGTTGAGAACCAGGACTGCTGCAATGTCGGTGGTAGATGGATGACTAGTGACTATGGCAGTGACTAGGGTCATTTCCATCCACTCCGATAATCCTAATTAGAAAGATTTGCTGTTGGTTTATTCTCCTTCAGTACTGCGAGCATTCTCGGCAAGCTTCAATGCTTCTGCAGCTCATGTAGACCAGTTTATGAAGCTAGTTTTTTCCCTGCTTAAGTCTTGGTGAGATTTTCGAGGAATGGAACCTCGTGTGTTGGTGTTCTAGTTCATCACCAAGCAGCCTATATCTTCCCATGCCCTTGTCTCTTTTGTCTCTTTTCCGCTCGAATGGTGCTCCTGCGATCCGATGGACCAGCATCAATCCATTATCTTCCATTGTACAGATATCGTTAGAATGTATAGTCTATCTATGTCTATCTACTGTACAGGAGTTCCGAGTAGCCCTCAACTGACAACTTTTTGTGGACCTTGCGGTTTGGGGGTTGAAGTCAAAAAAATGATCATGGGTTTTAACCATCAAAAATGGGGATAGGCTGCCGGCTTGTATATTAAGATTATTAAGTGAGAAATGGTGCTTGGCTGATGTTGGGGAGTTAAGCAGCAAACAAACGGGGGTTATGACCAAACATAAGGACAGAATGAAGATGTGATGGGATATATAAACCAGCATGCTCAGCAGCTTGGGACCCCCGTGGCTTTCATATGATCCCTATTATTTTCGATATAGATATCATACTATGGCACTTATATATGGATGCATACAAATAAGTTTTTTTTTTTTTATATATATATATATATAACATGTTGTAAGTTATAAGTATGAGATGTTGTAACCAACAATCATGCAATCACTAGCCGCCAGAAATAGTGGATACATCGCAAAAATAGGAACCTGAATCCAGTGAATGCCATTTTTGTTGCTGCAAACCAGCTTAAATCACCCATTTACAGATGGTTTTTTCATCACAGCCTCCATTCACCCGTTGGGGGATTTTCCCAGCTGGACCTATGGGATCTGTGGGACCTGTTGATTGGGATCGAGGCCAAGTGCTCCCTGGACTCCACGAACTTTGGCGACCTGTCTTGCTTGGAGGAAGCTGCGTCGGGGTGTCACGACCTCAGAGGTGGCGATGGAAAAACAACGGATCCGAAACTCACAAGCTGCCCCCAAATTTTCTAGTTCAGGATGATTGGATGATCATCATTGCAGTATATCAGAGATATAAATGTGATATATATATATATACGTATATATCATCAAGAAATGTGAGAGATGTGAGTTTAGCCCACACAAAAATGAAGCCGAGGCAATGCCATCGATGATGAAGACACCTGCCTGGCACGGGTGGATGGCCGTGCCTACGAGCAGGTGGCCGGTTACAAGGCTCCAGCTCCGAAAAAATGGCTGCCTGAAAAATGCCACCATTCTGTTGTTTTTTTGTCCAACTGTACCCTCTGGTAACTCTGGTAATCAAACGTGGCAATGTAAAACCCACTATAAATGGTGTTTTAATGAGGAACACTCATCTATAAATGATGAATGGGGGACTTTCCACTGCCATGTTTGCCGGAGATAAACTCCATTTCGTTCGGGGGTTTTAAATGGTCACATTGGGTTACCAGTGGGGTATATCGTTCGCAAACATGGGGATTTTTCACCCGTAAAATGAGGAACATCTTGATCTAATTTTTATGGTAAAGGGGGATATGTATGAAGAATATATGGATATGGAAGGCTATGGATATGAATATATGGATTTACCCCTACTAATAAGCTACTTTTTGAAGGATGTGGAAGGCTGGCGATGTAAATATACATGAACCGCATGCGTTACATGACATTACTATACGTTACATACGTATTGCGTAACCTTGGGTTGCTTCAGGTTCAGTTTTGTTCGATTGTACTGCAAACACTTGAAGCATACCCTCGGTGTAGATAACTGGGTCGTTGCCATGGTCATGAACTACTTACGAACGTAGAGAGCCTAGAGAGCTGGGCTTTTTTTGCCACAGGTGAAGGGCCAGCCATGCGTGTGGTGTGGCGGAATGCCATGCCGAGACGGAGGTCTGAACAAATGTGACTGGGCTTGGCAGGAAGGGGGGGGCATCAGACCTAAGCTCGAGGCATCAAGGTGTGGAATTTGTGAGAAACTCCGGAATAATAAATCCAGCAGCGAACCTGAAATCGGGGATGGTTTCTACTGCTGGGAAGGGGTACTCATGAGCCTTGATAGAGGCATTCACAATCATTCATTTTTCAATATTTTTGATCTGGGCAGCTTTGAAAGAATTTGACAAATAGTTGGGAAGGGTGTTTGCAGTTCAAGGATCTGAAATAGGAATGTGTTAGCTTTGCCAAATGTATTTTTCCCAACCATGTTGATTTTGCTTTGAACTTTTTTTTTAAATGTTTTGTTTTTATTGAAAGTTTTTGAATGGTTTTGATTTTTGAACTATTTTGAATGTGTGTTTTTTTTCTCGGAATGTTTTTGATTTGGGTGATTTTTGTGGAATGTTTTGGAATGTTTTTTTTGCATCGGAAATGCATATACATATATACCCTGGAGTGAAAATGGAGATGTTGTGGCATTGTTCTCAAGAGATGGCAATGGTCGAAGGAAGTTTAGAAGTCAAACTTCCGACAATATGGACAGATTAAAAGCAGAGATGGGAAGAGTCAGAGAAGAGAAGAGAATAGAAGAAGAAAGAATATCAAAAAAGAGAAAGTCTCAGAAGAAAGAAGATCCAGGTGCGCGAAAAGGTAGGAAAGTCGCGAAACACTGTGTTTTTTCAATGATTTGTGGCTCCGGAGGGTCAAAAAGTAGGCTTGCTAAAGCGGCGGGTGCGGAGCCATGTGGTCAGATGAGAGATGAAAAGTTGCACGCCGTTGTGGCGCGAAGCACATTTCCAAGTCAAAATGCACACAGCACACCAACGTCGGACCACTTTTGGAAGTTGTGATGTCGAAAAAGTGTGCGCCGTTGTGGCGCGAAGCACACTTCCAAGTCAAAACGTACAAGGTACCTCAGTGTCGGACCACTTTTGGAAGTTGTGATGTCGAAAAAGTGCACGCCGTTGTGGTGCGAAGCACATTTCGAAGTCAAAATGTACAAAACACACCATGCTTGGACCACTTTTGGAAGCTGAGACGTCGAAAAAGTGCATGCCATTGTTGCGCGAAGTACATTTCCAAGTCAAAATGTTAAAAGCACCACATGTTCGGACCACTTTTGGACGTCGATTCGCGTGGCAGGCGCAAGGGATTGTGCACCGTGTCGAAAGTGAGCAGCACGTGAGGGTTTTGTCGCATCTCCAAAAACCATGGCAGGCGTGGGACATTTGAAGAGGATCTGCAAAGATGCATTTTCCGTGGCAGGCGCAGTACAAAAGACATGTTCATGAGAGATGTTAGGAGGTCAGGGCACTGATTTCCTGAGAGGGGTTGCATTTTGGAGCATCAGATCTGTAAGTTTGCTAAGATGATTTTGCGTGACAGGTGCAGCACTTCGTATGACCTGGCATCAATTTTTCGTGTCAGGCACAATACTTTAGACAGGTGGAGTGGAAAAATCGCAAAACGCATTGGTACAAGGCTGTCAGCTCTGCACTCAACTTTCCATTTTTGAAGGAAGTCTCGCAGAATTCTTTCGTTTTTGATGTCTTCAACTTCGAACAATGAGGAAGTCTCGCAGATTTATCATGGTCTTCAATCCATGGCGCCATTCGGTGTGTGGCTTCCTTGGCGGGAAGTTGTTACGTTGGCTCTTGGTCATGGCTTCACAGAGCAGCTTTGCTTTGAGTGTGCTGACACCTGGCTGCAACTAGACGCCTTGGAATTCGACCCCCCGAGAAGGTCTGGTGATGAGACGCTGGTTGCCGATGTGCGACGGATCCGTTTGCTGTACAAGCCTGACCTGCATGGTGACGAGGGCGTGGTCGCTGTTTCCTCGGATGAGGATGTTGCAGCTGCACCGCCTTGTTCCGGTCAGCAATGTTCAGTGAGATGGCGGACAGGGATCAGGAGGGTGATCGGTTCGAGACCGGTGGCACAGTAGTTTGGTATTGCATCGAGCATTCGCTGGAGTGAAAGATTTGCAGAGATTGTGACATGGTGTGTGTATCATTGTTCTACTGGGGACTGCAAACCAACATTTTTCTATGCTCGGAATTCCCTTACATGGAACATTCATTACAATGGGGGAAAGCCAAATCTGATACTAGTACGACTACTGATACTACTACTACTAGTACTACTGCTGCTGCTGCTGCTACTGCTACTGCTACTGCTACTGCTACTGCTACTGCTGCTGCTGCTACTGCTGCTGCTGCTACTACTACTACTACTATCACTACTACTACTACTACTGCTACTATTACTACTACTACTACTACTACTATCACTACTACTACTACTGCTACTATTATTACTACTACTACTACTACTACTGGTACTACTGGTACTACTAGTACTACTACTACTACTGCTAGTACTACTATTACTACTAGTACTACTAGTACTACTAGTACTACTA